AATTATATATTTTCCTCTTTTTAAAAAGATAACTCAGAGATCTAGGCTTTTGTAGTATACTTAAATGTACTATACTTAATAATGTCTTTATCACCCTTAATTGCAAACATTTTAATTCTATGACTTTATTTTGCCTGTCAGTCTCAGGAATATAAACCGATTTGAGATAAGTTTATCCAATATATTGCTACTTGTGATATATGGTTATTTAGTCACAGATGTCTGTTTCCTTCTGGCATTTCACAAAGAAACACTGAGGAAGTAGTAGTACAATCAAAGAAACAACTTTGGTAACATCACATAACAATACAACCCATTGAGTGCTATCATCACTTCCTGGTTTAGAGTAATCAGAATGTCACACTTCCATGGAAACTGCTCACACACCCACAGATCCCATATGACAATGGATCCAGCTGCCTTCTCCAAAGCTGTGGGAGTTATAAAGAGGACTTTTGTGAAAATGAAGTGACTTGATTCCCAGAAGGTCAACAAGCCCCCAAATCCTGGGAGCCCCCACCAGTGCTCAGGTTAGCCATGCTCTATACAGGCTTAGGATAATGATTCACAGCTCATTTGTTGAATCTTGGGTTTCACAAAAAATCTGGATACAATAATAACTTCAAAGGATTGTAATAGAACTATCGATATTATGGCCTTTATTTTGGGGAGCAAAGAAAACAGGCTGCCTTCGGAGAGGAGTATAACAGTTTCTGGTCCCCCTAACACGCTGCTTGCTACATGTAAGTGGGTAGGAACCCTTAGTGAGAGCCCACCTGTGTGCTCACACTGAGGTCAGCTGGCTCCCTGCTGTGTCACCTTGGGCAATTCACTTTGAATAATTATTAATTCCAATGAGTTAAATCTGAAAAGGAAGAACCAGCAATTGAGCTATCAAGAATGTATGTGTATAAGTTTTGGGGGGACACCCTGTATATGTGTAGCATAAACAATCTATGATTGGAGGAAAGATGTTAGGGGGACCAGAAACTGTTATACTCCTCTCTGAAGGCAGCCTGTTTTCTTACCAATATGATAGAATTTACCGCAAAGGTTGGTGGGAAAAGCAAATGAGCTCAAATACAATGGAGTTTGTGCCTAGTGCGCAGGTAGAAGACAGCAGTGATACTAGTCTTCTATCATAACTAGTGTAGTCTCATCATGGAGGAGTTTTCCACAAGGAATCAAATTACCTGAAAATGTCAACAAGGAGGCAAATGTTTTAAATAATTCATGGATGGGCAATTTTTTTTTCTCTAGGAGCATTAATCACAATTTGATATAAAGTGCATTATAAACTCTTACAAATGACCTAATAAATGCAAGACTTTCTGATAAATAAATTTCTCTTTTATTAATTCATTCAACAAAAACATGCTGCATTCCTATACATTGTAGAGCATGAAAAGATGAATCACAGTTCCTACCGAGAAAGGGTTTGCCATTTAGTAGAGGAAATAACATATTTGCATAAGTAACTATATTAAAGAGTGGAAGGTTTAAGAGGGATAAGAAAAATTAAGACAAGAGGAAAAATAATTACTCTGAGGTTCAACCCCAATGAAGGTATTATCTGAAGTAGACCTTAAAGGAGAGCTGTGCTTCAGAAACACAGAGCTAGCAGAATGGGGGAGGTGCTCCTGACCGAAGGAATAGCTTGAGAAGGGCAAGGGCATAGCCAAGCCTGGAAGGTAGTGGTGGTGCTGAAGTGGGTGGGGGGAATTGGCACATGGTGAGGCCCTTGAATGTCTGACTTTATGACTGGAGGCTCAAATTCAATTGTGTTCTGTTCTCTGTTTCTACCTTGCGTTCAACCCTTGTATCAAGCAACATCCATTAAGCCTTACTAAGGCTTAGTGGCGTATTTTTAAAAAGCATCTTTTATACATCCTTTATGTGGTATTCTTGTTATAATTATGAGAAATCAACAGAATCTGAAGTTTTCTTCATGGCATATTTTGGTTCATTGGGACTTTTCTGGTGTGATGGTAGAAGGAACTGCTTTTATATCTCACTGGACAATCTTCAGTGGCTTATCTATCTGAAGTTTGCAGTCTCAGCCCTGAAACTCCCCTTATGTGAATACAAAGACTGCTGAGAGAGGATTCGGTTGGGAACATCTGACAGTGAAAGGAGGCTACGTGTGTAAACAGAGTTAGTTTGGGAATGATCACTGAATGGTTGGGTGAGGTCTGTTTGTTTGAGTTGACAGCCTCTCCCTAACTCTTTCATTAAACACCCAAGTAACCTCCAATTGCCCTCTTAGAACTTAATCTCAGTGCAATTACTAGCATTTCAAAATCATCCAACACAAAGAAGTACTAACCTGAAAGGGGTCTTTATTCAATGTTAGGAGAGTAATTCCAACTACAAAATTCTACAAATGCCCCAAATGTGAAGTAGGATAGATTTAGAAACCACTTACTCTATTAGGTGGTATAAATAATAAATTTATAACAAGCTGGCACACAACTTAAGTGTCCTCCAACATTTCTGAGAATTTAGAATGCCAACAAGTGTTGGTGGAGTGTTTCTGATGAGATAGGCCTTCATCTATCAGGGAAACATGATTTTGGGTCTCTGGAAAGCTAGTTCATACATAAATGCCAGTCAGCAATAAAGTTTATGTTCATGTTTGCTCTAATTTTTCCCGTCATAAATTTATTTAGACTCCTAGCCAGTCTGTGCCCTAGCATTTCTCAAAGTGTTTTCCTGAAGCTACCTGATCACCTGAAAATCCGGGCCTCACCCCAGACCTAATCAATGAGGCAAGGTCCTGGGATTTGAGTTATAAGGAAGAAAATCTTTTATTTCTATGATTACTGAAGTTACTTCTACCCAGATTCCTCTTATGTTATTATTTCAGCTCCTATCTTCCCAGACAGTTGAATCATTCAAAGATGAAGTTGATGCTGGGTGTAGATAGTCTTTTCAGAGGCATGTTGCCATATGAATGATGTCATCCAGAGTCAAAAACTTACTCCAATACCTTCACCAACAAGTTACAAAGGGCCAGGGGATCAACTGTGGTTGGGATTTCAGAGAATAATTAGAAACCAAATTTTGAAAGATATCCAACTGCTATTAACTTTTCTTTTTAATATTTTTCACTTTTATCTCTGTTGTTTTTTTGTTTGTCTTTTCTTTTCTTTTGGATTTCCCCAGAAAACTGAGTAATAGGACTAGTTGTGGATTACAAGAGAGAAGTGATTATAATAATGTCACTCTTGCAAAAATGTATCTTTCAAAAACAGTTTTGTTACTAATAAATAAGCCCCATACCTCCTCAGTCCCTTTAAGCTTTTCTTATTTAAAGACAAATAAAATTATACTTTGAATCCTAGCAATTTCTTTGTTTTCCAAGTGACACTTTTGATCTTAAATGAACAGCTATTACCAAATGCATATCATTACATCTTTTATACTTTGTCTTTTAAAGTCAACCAGCTAGTTATTTTATAACTTACTATTATGTGTTCTATAAAAAATTGAAGTAAGATGTATATCACATTTAACAGGGAGGTTGTATGTTTAATGAAAAGAGACCTAAAGACAGAAGACCTAGGTTTAAGTCCAAGTTTATTATTCACATGATTCCAGAGAAATTCATATAATGTCTCTGAGTCTTAGTTTCATATTTAAATACTAGAGGCCCAATGCATGAAATTCGTGCAAGAGTAGCAGGAGTAGGCCTTCCTTTCCCTGGCTGCCAGCACCAGCTTCCCTCTGGCACCCGGGACCCAGGTTTCCCTCGCAGCCCCGGCTTTCTCCGGAAGGACATCCGGTCTAATTAGCATATTATGCTTTTATTATTATAGAAAATAAGAATCAATATAATTCTTAATTCCAAGAGTTATTGTAGGGATTAAAGGACATCGTTAATATTTTTGTTCTCAAACATTTATGAATGCCTAATGATGTCAAGGTAGTCATAACGTATTTCTTGATCCCTAAAACAGCCTTCCATTTATTTCTATCTTTTGTGTTTTTCAAAATGATAGTTGGTCTTCTTGCTCCTTCCATAGGATGTAAGACATGGTTTTTTGCACCTGTGGCTGATCTACCAAATGTGAAATGCAGTGCCAGCATTCTGATGACACTGTTGCCACCAAGTGGTCACTGTCGGGTACTGCAAGCCAAAATCTAGACCTGATAAACCACAACATACCAGTAATAGTGCTATGACAAGCAATTCAAACTGTGCATATCGACCAAAACAGTAGCTTTTCTTCTCCTTCCTTCGTGACATAAACTGATAACACAATTCTTATCTAACCTGAAACACCATATTACTCTTTCTTCCTAGAGCCCACAATCCACAACAATTTAAAAATCACTGGCTCTCTCCTAAATTCCTAATCCCTCTTTTCTATACATACAGCCAAAGACCTGCAAAGAAATCTGAGACATAAAATTCCCAGAGGGAGACTAGAGAACCACCAGTAGTTGACGACCATAATATATCCAGCATCTTATATGTGTTTAATCTTGAAACCCTAGGAGCAGCATACAACATCTTTGTCTTACACTTACAGTATGAAACTAAGGCTCCAATGGACTCAGTTCGTGAGTAGCAGGATATGCTTCAAACCCAGGAAAGAGCCAAGTTCTCTCCAGCACCTCTCAGGGCCTCCCTTCATGCCTGGTGGCTGCTCTGTCATTTTCTGCTTTACCTTCTATGGCGTTTAGGTATCTTCTACCCAACATACCTACACCAGCACATTCAGAATCACCTGGCCAAAGTCTTACAATATGAATGCCTAGGTCACTTCCAGACCAATTTTAACTAACACTCTGGAAGATAAACCACCCCAGCGTCTGTAATTTTTTAAAATTCTGCAAATTACTCTGTTGTACTGTGAGGTTAAAGAACCACTGGTTTAAATAATGATATTACTCGTGTTAAATTGTTTTTCTACTGCTTTAGTATTTAATCAGGAGTATATGCTCATTATGAAATACTTTATTAACACAAAGTTTCTCTCTTGTTGTAATAACAGGTGGATGAGATATTTATAGATTCGGCCTTGAATAAGCATTATATCAAGAACCGAGTAGTCAGACTGACGTATGTATGTTTGGGCAAAGGTGGAATCACAGCCTAATGGGACAAAGGGCAAAGGGGACAGGGACCCTTGTATATGCTGCATTTCTATGAGCTAGGCTTTGGAAAGGGTTTCTCATAAACATTATCTCTACAACAGTCTCAAGACACGGCACTGATCACCATTATGTAAAGGAGAAAACAAAAACTGGGGGAAGGTTAAGTGACATGTTCAAAGTTCCCCAAGTGACAGTTTCCCAAGTGAAACAGAACCAAGATTCAGTATCTGGAACTACCAGAATCTGTGTCTGGGGAAAACCCAGCAGCATGTCACTGCGGGCACCAAGTTGTATTTTTTTTTTACAAATATGTCATTTCAAAAATATTAAGAAGGAAAAGTTGACTACAATTTGGGACAATTAGTTTTACCTGTAATAAAGCCCCAGTGTCAGCGGGCACACGTAAACAAAAAGAGGTTTCTGTTTTAATAAATGTTCTGTTTGTTGTGGTGGAGGGGGAAGACTCATATCAGTTGCAGGAATCGCTCAGAGGTTTCTATTATGTTATTAGGAAAGCACATAGCAGAACACATACGTAATCGGTGCAAATGTATGGGCCTGTATGACTCATCTTCTTAAAGAAAATGAATATATTTACACAGATTTATTTGAAGGAAATAATCACTTTTCTCACCCATAGACTAATGCCTAGTAACAGACTTACTCCAAGTTCCTTACAACTTTACTGACTAACTAGTGACTACCAGATGAATTTTATAAAATTGGTAAATTCTATAATACTTAGGAGATAAAAGGAACATATTTGCTGAAACTTTCTGGACTTCATGCCTTCTATTTTGAAATTCGGATTTGCCATAATATTCAAGCAACATTATCATAATCTTATGAACTCCTTTAAATATGTAGCCATTGTCAATGAATTTTTGTGTGAATCCAACAATTGAGACATAATTCCAGGGAAGAAAATACAGGAAAGAGTGTAAGTTGATACCAGATTATTACTTCGAATAATCACCTTTCTCTTCTGTCTCAAAGTCCAGAGGACGATGGTGTGAAAGCAGATATCATTATGGTGTTCCAGTTCCCCTTTGCTGAGCAAAGGGCAGTAAGGAAGAAGAAAATCCATAACATCCTAAACCAGAAGATAAGGAACACAAGAGCCTTGTCAATAAATGCCTCATCAGTGCAAGTTAATGGTAAGTAGGCACCTTTCTGTGTGATGTGAAATTCTCTATTAGGTTCATTTTGTGCCTCACCTTAAACTTAAGTGCCATATTTCTATTCCAAACAATAGCTAGAATCAAGACTAATTTTTTTAAGTTAAAAAAGTAAAATTTCAAGGTCTTACTAATATTATTGACTGATGAAAGCATGTCTGCAGTTAGTTGTCAAGGGGTTTTTCCTGTAGTAAGTGACTGGTGCTGATCCCAAAATAAAGGCCAATCTTTACCATTAATAGAAAATTAATCTGACCCATCACTGCCTCCATGACTAAGTAAGTGAAAATACTAAGCATTTAGCAGCAACTGCTTTTCTGAGTGGGACCTTTCTAAACATAAACTCATATGTTGCCTCTCAAAAATATAGATAATTTCTGTATCGAATGAAATTATTACATTTTTAGAAAATATATTTTTATTTATTTCAGAGAGGAAAGGAAAAGGAGAGATAGAAGCATCAATGATGAGAGAGAATCATTGATTGGCTGCCTCCTGCATGCTCCCTACTAGGGATCAAGCCAGCAACCCGGGCATGTGCCCTTGACCTGAATCGAACCCAGGACCCTTCAGTCCACAGGCTGACATTCTATCAACTGAGCTAATCTGGCTAGGGCAATTATGACATTTTTGTTAACTTTTTTCCTATGGACATTTGGAAAATTGGTAAACTAACTTTGGAGCCACTAAAGCAATCTTATAATTAATAAGTAAAAATCACTAACCTAGAAAAAATTATTGAAACAATTATACTGTTATCACTTCTCTGAAATAGAGAATCAACCTTTATCAAGGCCCTGTCTATTCCCTTTATATGCTGCATCTAATTTCTAGATCCCTAAGAAGTAGGCAAATGTTATAGATGTGAATGAAGGCCTCAAAAGATTAAGGACTCTAATTGTTAAGAGGAGGTAAAATTCAAATCTAGATCTCTAATTTCTTGAGAGGCTCTATTTAAAATGGCTCTGTGGTCAACCACATTTTAGAAATTCTGTTTTTTAAGATTCATCTCTTAGAAATTCATTCCTTATTAGCATACCCTGATGAGTCCAGCTAGACAAAAACCTGTCTACCCTTGTATATTAAGCTGCATCTACTTCCGGCAGATTTCCCTACAAATTCCAATGGACACAATCCTTAGAGTCACAAAGAGAATCAGAGTGATTAATATCAGATGGGAAACAGGATGCCCTGCCCTTGTAAGGGTCTGACTGACTCTTCAAGAGGAAACCAGACCAGGAAGCAAAAATGTGAATGAATGGGATGGGCAGGAGTTTGCTGATGTGGCAAAGAGTCAGCTACTCAAGGAATAAAGCTGTGGACCTCTCCCAAGCCGAGGGGGAAGAAACTGTCAAGGGCTTAATCCACCTTCTTTGTTAGGTGGGAAAGCAAATGAATCGAGCTTATGAAATAGTGGCAATCCTGATAAGTTACATGATAGTTCTATTTAATTCCCAATAACCAGTTAATTTACCAGAAATTTAAAAGCCTGACCTATCTGAAACTTGAAATGAGGTGTGAAATGGTCATGGATTGCCTGGTCTTTTTGTTTCTTACAGACTCAGATTGTACACTGCAGTTTATTTTAATGACTGGAGTAGTTTAAAGGGTAGGATGTGCTGATGTAGAACCTGATTTAAGAGTTACCTGACTAATTCTAACCCCACTGAGTCACTGCAGGACCACCCAAGTAATTGGCCCAGGCCTTTGCCTTCATTTTCTCATCTATAAAATCCTGTATAATAAAAGGGTAATATGCAAATTGACCCTAACAGTGGAACAACCGGTCACTATGACGTGCACTGACCACCAGGGGACAGGCACTCAACACAGGAGGTGCCCCCTGGTGGTCAGTGCGCTCCCACAGGGGGAGCTCTGCTCAGCTACAAGCCGGGATGATGGCTGTGAGCAAGGAAGTGGTGGCGGGAAGCCTCTCCCATTTCCACGGCAGTGCTAAGGATGTGCGGGGAGCAGGCTTAAGCCATCAGTCAGACATCTCCTGAGGGCTCTGGGCTGCCAGAGGGTGGACATCCCCCAAGGGTCCCAGACTGCGAGAAGGCACAGGCTGGGCTAAGGGACCCCACCTCCCACCCTGAGTGCATGAATTTTCATGCACCAGGCCTCTAGTTGTAATGATAATGTTTGTTCTTCCTGAAATAGAAATACCATGAGGATATGGGGGGGGGGGAAATATATATATATATAATATGGAACATATAGACTATTACCACTTAGAAAACTAGTAAAATGTACATATGTTTTGGAAACTGAAAGCATTAATGTGAGTGACTGGTAATAGAAAAAGCTAGAACTTTGAAGGTTTCCAAATTTATAAATGTAAAAAGAGCAGTGTTTGTTAGCACTTAGGAAAGGCCCATTAGTGGAAAGCTCATTAAGAAACCTCAAGGCTGTTCTTACAGGCAAAAACATTGGTCTATAGAAACACTTAATTTGGGGGACTCCCAGTGAATAAAAGACTGCAGCCCAAGATTTATCCATAATTTGTCAAAATATGTGTTTTGTTTTGACAAATAACTGTGTGGTGTGGGTCCTTCATGTGAGGCAGTGTGTGAAAGCAAAGCCAAAGTCAACACCTCTGCATTGCAAATGCCGGGGCTGTGGCAGAGCAGCTCACTGCCTACCTACAGTGGCTGTGCTCCCCTCCCATCATGTTACTTGTAGGCTATAGAGCCCTGAATACTAACTACGTTACTCCCGACTGAGAAATGTGTGAGAGGGTTACTTTCAAGACTAGGATGTTCATGTTTCTTTGTGCTCCTAGATGTGGAAAGTCGAAATATTGATACAAATTAGAAACCTTCCACAGCTAGTGACTTGTGTATAGGTCGTTTACCTCTAGGTGTAATCATGTTCCCTAGAAAGTCAACCCTTAAAAATCCAATTATACTTACAACCATTACACTTAACCTGGTATCATTCCTGGAAAAGAGGTGTTTGCATCCTGCTCAAACTAAGCTGAAGAAGTTTTAACAGAAGAATTCTAACATTATACTATTATAAAATCCCAAAATAAAGACCAACCTTTATTTTGTATCAGTTAATCAATATATAATTCTAACATTATACTGTTTTCCATTTTAGTGCATTACTACTATGTGGCATTTTAAATTGTTTTTTTTAAGTGAAATAAGAAATTTACTAAAAACAATATTTGACAGAAAATTGAGTTCCTTCCATAGAGTAAGCATTGAGAATGTGTCCTGAGAAATTGATTCTTCACCATATAATAATTTGGGAATGCCTTTAAGGGAATCTTTGAATTCAATATTTTCAAAACCCCAATTTACAGAGTTCATCATCACTAGTTTTTCAAGTGGGACTTATAGAAGGTGGCTAAAATTTCTTATTTTGCACAATGAAAAGTTAAATGCAGATAACATGAGTCTAAACATACCATTGGTGGAAATTTGTAAAAGTTTATCTTCATTCTGCTCAGCAAGCAATTTTATCTTGAAAATCATCAATATTCAGGCAACCTTCCACCAACTTAAGTTTAAGTATTCATGTTTTCTTTATCATATCCCTAACTTTGTTGGAAATTAACAGAATTTAATCTTAGTTTATGTTCAATAATTGATGTTGGATAAGAATACACAATAGTTTACTCTTCAGAAAAAATAATGTTGATAATTTAGGAACTATGTTTTAGAAGTATTTTAAGTACAGTTCACATGGGTGTTTTCAATGTGTTTTATTATTATTATTATTATTCCTAAACCTTTTTACCAGAGGAAGGCTTCTGTGAACTCTTAAACAGAAGAGATAAAAGCAGACCTTCTCTGGTTGAGGCTGGGTTTGAGCTTCAAAACCCCACCTACTTGCTCCCCTAGTTCCCCACTTTTTCTTTCTTCTAAGGTGAAATCCAAAGAGGGTGTTTTCTGCACCATTAGAAAACCACTGTTCTGTAGGAATATAAACTATTTGTTAATTTTAATCTTCACTATTTGTGCCCTAATCATCCACTGTTTGAGGTATTATGCACCTAATTGGAGGTTGCCTATTAGTCTCTACAAAAATTGTGCATATATCTGGTATATCTAGTAGCCATTCTCCTGACTCTAGAATACTGTCTAGAATCCATATATGGTCAGCACTTCCTGATAATTTCAGGTCATGGAGGCCAATCAGGAGAATGTCAAATTATTATTCTTTGTTCTATTTTGTTTTTCAGCAATGAGCTCATCAACAGGGAAGTTAACTGTCCAAGCATGTAAGTATAGTTAGCTTATAAAAACAAGTTCTATTTCCACATCAGAAAGAACAATATCTTCAAATATTAGCTAATAATTTCCCATCCATGTCCCACTTTTCTTGGGAGAGAATAGCAATTGGGCAATATCAAAATACTTTTATTTCTAACTCTGAGATTGATCTTTTCTCATGTTTAAGAAAAACATTTTACATGATTGAAATTTTGAACATTTTGCATAAGTTATACATATATATTTCTGGTTTGGAATAAATGGACTTGCTTTTCTAATTTTTAAATGCTATCAAATGTGCTTTCTGCTGAGAAATAAAATGAGAAAATGAGATGGAGAAGAGATAGATTCCATTATCTGTGACTGACCTATAAAATTTGCTTAATATATCTTACCTTTATGGTTGACAGCAGCTCCACTTGTTTATTTTATATCAGTGTAACCAAATTTTTGAAAGATTTTATAAAAGTGGTGATGAATTTGAGCAAAGCTGTTCATGCATTCATCTATGTGTCTTGCAAACACACCATACTACAAATTTTAATTAATTAATTAATTCCCTTGCTCATTCAACAAATGCATTCATCTATGTGTCTTGCAAACACACCATACTACACATTTTAATTAATTAATTCCCTTGCTCATTCAACAAACATCATTTTAATATCTACTAAGTGCCAGGAAGTGAATATCATTGTGAATGAGACACAATACTGCTTCTAAAATTAAGAGTTTGAAGTTAGGGGAAGACATAAGTAAATCAGAAAACATTAAAATGGTGTGATAAATGCTATGACAGAGAAAGTGCACACTGCTATGAGAGTCAATCAGAGAGTTAGCTAACCTCGTCTTGTGGAGTCAGAACATGATCTGAGACAGAAAAGAGGAGAGACCATGAAACAAAAGACAAGTAGGATGGGTGTCCTGGCAGGGAAAGTAGTGTGTAAAAATGTCTTCTGGAAAGAAAGGACATGGTCATGTCTTGCAATTGCAAAACGTCAGTGTGGCTGGAACACAGAATGGGGATTGAAGATATCAGGAAGAGGCATGATTAATAGTCACCAAAGACCAGAATCCTGCTGACACATTTTGACTTTATTTGGAGGGCAGTGAAAAATCACTAAATTGTTTTACTCAGATCAGAAAGATCACTCAGTTTCAATGTGGAGAACAGATTGGAGGGATAAGACTAGAGGCAGGGAGATAAACTGGGACACTGTAGAAGTCTTCTAGATGAGAAAAATGGTGAACTAGAGCAATGGCAGAGTGCTGGAGATTTTTAGAATGACTGGCCACAGTTGGAGTGTAATCAATGCCAGTAAAATCAGTTTTCTTTTTTGATACCTAATTAGTTAGAACAAAAAGTGAAGCTAGTTTATTTTCCTTATTAGCACCATAAAGGTGCTAATAAAGGAGGCTGATTCTTAGCAGGAACCCTAAGCAGCAGACTAATCTCTGATCTGATGCACACAACAGATACGTACTTATTCCCACCAATAGTGAATGTGATGTTTATGTGGAAACATGGAACTCCATCCTGAAAGTGAGAGACTGGTCACGATACATTACCTCATGCACACTTTAAGAACTGGCCACTCAGAAAAATATAAAGAAGAAGGAGCTCCAACAAATAGGACATTACTTGTCTGGTCAGTTTTCTTGTGAGAAGTTCATGTCAAAGTGACACTGTTGAATCACCTAAAATTGAGAAACAATGATCTTAGTATGAGCTCCCAGGACATGTTGGTAATTGACACCACAAGTCCTTAGGATACACACTTTGAAGTGTGCCAACCCTTTGCAGCTGTACATAGTTTCAGTAGGCAATAGAGTCCACATATATAAAGGGAGGGAAAGAATAAAACATCAACATATTGGTAAATACAGAGGACAGATATTAATATTGTACATGCTTATATAATGATAGATGCAAGTATTGCATTGTAGTACTCTATTAGAGGTTCTTTGCATCAAAACTTACACATTTTTTAAAACTTAATAGTCTCATCTCTTTCAGGTTGTGGTAAACGGGTTGTTCCATTAATAGTCAACAGAATAATGTACGGAGACATTGCGGCCAAGGCTGCCTGGCCGTGGCAAGCTTCCCTTCAGCGTGATAACATCCATCAGTGTGGGGCCACCTTGATTAGCAATACGTGGCTCGTCACTGCAGCACACTGCTTTAAGAAGTAAGTTATAGACCTTAAGTTGGACCCCTCTACTGCTAAAAAAAAGTCTCTGAGATTTATTATGTTCTGAGTAATAATCAATACCCCCAAATATTACTGAGATAAAATGAGAAATTCAGGTTCTTTTCTAAAACAATGTTACGTTTGCAAACTTATTTGAAAAGTTGTGGGGGGAGTGGAGTAGTCATTGATCAGGTCCTCAGATTTCTTTCTAACTAGGTTCACTTTATAACCTTTCCGCAGTACCAAATATTCTGGTAAGAAAAACAGAAATGTCAAAAGGACTTTATGTTAGAGTAATAGCAAGAACTAAATAATGTGCTTTAACATGTGAAAATTGCTTAGAAATTTCTGTTGGAAGATAACTTACTATGAGTCAATTCACAAAACTACAATTGTGATTTAGATTACATTAAAAGAAATGCAGAACCCAGAATAAATGAGATATCAGACTCTGTGTTGGTCAGATCCTGCCTAGAATAGTGAATTCTGTCCTGGACAATACACTTAAAGAGAAATTGACAAAACAAAATGCTCTTACTAGTAGAGTAGTAGCGAGTCCTTGGTGATAAAAAAAGGAGCTGGTATATCCATATAGTCTTGCCACTCAAAGCATAGTTGGTAGACCAGCAGCATTGACCTAACTACAGAATTTGTTAAAAATGAAAGAATCTTAAGCCCTATGGGCTCCACCCTACAGAATCAGGAGCTGAATTTTAAAGGCTCCCCAGGTTATTTGTTTGCACCTTAAAGCTTGAGAAACTATCCTAGGAGAAAAAAAGTTATCTTGCAAAAGCTCTGGTAGAGATGATAAATAATTATGTTCATATGTCTGAGATACTTTGCTGTGTAAGAGAACTAGGTAATCAAGTAAGAATTTTTCAACAGTCAGAGATGCTCAAAGACGAAAGGGACTTTAAGGTAAAGAAAGGGATATAAAGGCAATGATGTCCCCATCTGCAGAAGGGTTCAAGTGTAGACAATCGACACTTGAGAGTGTTCTTGTAACAACAACTATCATCATTCATTAAGCCCCAATATGCTACAAGCATTTGGTTAGGTGCTTAACATTTGTTTTATATGAATCTTATCTATGCCCTCCTTTGCTTGCTAATCCTTGCTTAGTAAGCCCCTTTTCAGTGAGGGAAATAAGGAAGGCTAAGTAACTTGCCCAAGGTCACAATGTTAGGGAGATGGTAGAGTTGAACACAAGGATATGACTTCCTCATGGCAAGTCCCATTTCCCAAGCAGTGGGGTCATGACTTTGTATGGCCTTTACTACTCAGATTATTTTATATTAGTGGAGTCTATTATTGAGTTAACACTTTAAGAAACCTCAGTACATGATTTTTTAAAATCTAATAATCAACACAATTCCTAGATCCTATTTACAGGGATGATTTTCAGACCAGGTGTCACCACTTTAAATGTTTACAATTTATTTGGGGATCTAAATTACTGTTTTATACTTATCACTAGTAAATTGCACCTTATTGATATGGGGCCAAATTATAAAAATTTTTAAGTTTATTTGTAGTCTTTACTCAGCATCCTCATGTCAAGTATTTCTAGTTTGTAATCTGCATATGTAATAAACACAAACTGTATTAATTGGTAGCAAGCCATTGTTGGAAAGTGTTAGAATGATCACTCCCATTTGAGTAAATATAATTCTGTCCTTTGCATTTCCAAGTTCAAAATATTTAATTTATCTGACGTTCCTCTAAGCATGATTAAGTTGCGAGTGCAGATTTGTACCAATAAATCTCACAAAAGACTGATTTATAAATTTAAAATGTGTGTATATTTATGCTATATGAACAATTGTGTTTATAAACCAATCTTTATTTAGCTTTTCTCATTAGAATATTTTTGCACATAAAAATTGTATATAAAAATAAAATTTTAAATTGCCTCAAAAATGAAAATAATAATCCCAGCACAATTAACAGCTATCAAATAGGATTTAAGCCCCATTGATGTTTATAATAAATGCTTCTTTCTATGAAGCTACCTATTAAGAAATAATTAGGCTGAGAAACAAGTATCTATGTAGACAGTATTTGTCTCTTTGGTTATCCCTATGGATGATGTTCAATTAATTAGTTAAGGAACATTTATCTTGCTATTAATAAATAAATTTTGGTTGAAGACCATGTCCAATAAAGAAAAGAGCATAGAGAGGCAAGCAGACATGTGATACTAGGCAAATAGTGTAGCCCATTTAGGCCTTATTTTCCTTAAGTATAAAACACAGGCTTTATTAGATAATCTGTCATTACTAGATGACCTTTCCAATCCCTACATGCACCATTATCCACCAATTGCTCCAGCCCACAAGGTAGAAGTCATACACAATTGGCCATCTCTCACACGATCTCTGACAGCTTTTAACTCATCCACCCTTATCATCCAACAATCTATTTTCCAGAATCAACATGGTGGTTTTTTAAAAAAAATATAAATGAGACTCAAGTACTGTCATCTTAAAATCATTCATGTCACTTGAATATATCCATGTGCTTTACTCATGACCTATAAGGCACTCTAAAATCTGGTTCCTACCTACCTCTCCAACCTCACCCCCACCATTCTTCCTTTGGGTCCTGAACTGCAGCCCCTCCAGTCTAAAGCCTTGGGAAGTTTGTCTGGAAACTTGTCTTCCCATCTTCTCACAGCTGACTCCTTGTCAACTATATATTAGTTCCATTGTCATATCCCAAAAGAGCCTTCCCTAACTACCCTCTAGTATTCTATTCCATTGATCTATTTTATTTTATTCTTAGCCCTTGTCACTGTTTGGTTATTTACCCATTTGTTAATTTGTTTCACTCTTTTTCCTTCACTAGAATCTAACCTTTTCTGTCTTGTTCACCACTTTATCCTCAGCACTTTGAATAAGACTCAGCACGTAGATGTTCAATAAATATTGGTTGAAGAGGTAAATAATACTTTATGTGCCTTTGCAGTTCTAAAATCTAATAATTCTGAATTAGATTCAGGTCTAAGATGCTGTTTGTATATGTTTTAACCTTCAAAATAGTAGCAGTAGACTCCATTTAAATAGTCAAAGAAAGTTATTGGTGCAATCAAGTATTTTCAGGATGCCATTTTCTCTTTTATTAGCCTAGTGCAATTATTGTAGTGCAGTTTATATATTCTGTTCATTTGCTAATCTTTTCTAGGAATATAAATCCACGTGAATGGACTGTTAGCTTTGGAACAACAATCAACCCTCCACTAATGAAAAGAAATATCAAAAGAATTATTCTCCATGAGAAGTATCACTCCCCAGCAAGAGAGTACGACATTGCTGTTGTGCAGTTTTCTCCCAGAGTCACCTTTACTGATGACATCCGCCGGGTTTGTTTGCCAGAAGCTTCTGCATCCTTCCGACCAAATTCAACTGTCTATATCACAGGATTTGGAGCACTTTACTACGGTGGTGGGTATCTCAAAAATGATCACAGAGTATGATTTAATTTCCATCAACATTGCCAGCCATTTCCACAACTTGGTTGGATTAGTTAGGGCTCCTGTTTTGCATGTGACAAAACTTCAACTCAGATTAGCTAAAACAAAGAATAATGATGAAATGGCAACTTTTGCCCTTGTAATTTGGAAATCAAGAAGTGATTCTGGCTGGCCTAGCTGGTTTTGCTCAGTGGATAGAGCGTTGGCCTACGGGCTGAAGGGTCCTAGATGCGATTCCAGTCAAGGGCATGGGTTGCAGGCTGGCTCCTCAGTAGGGAGCGTGCAGGAGGTAGCCAATTAATGATTCTCTCTCATCATTGATATTTCTATCTCTCTCTCCCTCTCCCTTCCTCTCTGAAATCAATCAAAATATATTTTTAAAAAAGAAAAAAGAAATGAGTCTGGCTTCAGAAATAGCTGGATTCAGGACTTCTTATGATGTTACTAAGCTCTAAATTGCTGAATCATTTCATTTCCTGGCTCTGTTTCCCCCTTCATATGGAGGGATTCCAGCTCCAAAGTGGCCAACAGCAGCTCAGGATTTACCTCCTCTCCACCTATAGATGCCAAGGGAAGAACATGTCTCTCTCTTTGCCAGAATCTATGTCAATCCCTGAAAATATCTCTTTTGGCCTAGCTTGTGTCCAGGGGTACTCAGATTAATTGGCTAACTCAAATACTCAGACCTATGCCTACACCAAGAAAGGCAGGTGTGTGATGGGCAGCCTAGTCAGCATCACATGGAATGAGGGAGAGGCAGTTCTAAAAGGGTGGGCTTTAAGGAAGACTTCAAAGGTGTTCCTTCAGCAACAATAAAATCTATTTCTATACGCTGTTCTCTATGCAATACCAGATATTACCCTCTCTAAGATTATTTAACTTGATAATACTAACCTGATCTCCTAACAAGTAAAAATGATTTTATTTTTGAATATTTGGGGGGCATACTTAGACACACTCTGGATCCTAAAATCTGGTCCAGGTACATACATATACAACAGCGAGAGGGTTTCTTTAACTCTGGGCTTGAGAAGATGAGAAAGGGCTTTCTGAGAATGACAAAATTCATTCACAGAGCTCTATACAATAAACTCTAAAGAATAAACCTTTAATTCTCAGTCTCTACTAAGAAACTAGGAGTACCTTTCACTAATGTGGCCCAGAATAGATGTCCCATGTGGTTTCATTCCATACTGTATGAGCTGAGAAGCGTGTTGCTTTCTTTAAGGCAATATTACTAGTCACAGAAATTATTAGCCATAGTTTTTTAATTCCAGGGGTGGCTGAGTAGAGCTGTAAGCCTGACACCTCTCTGTCTGCATTCTATCTGAGGGGTTTTGTCCTAAGTCAGAGTTTGCATTCTCTGCTTCAGGATGATAGGAGGGGCATGGTGGGAAGAAACATTCCTGGCTTGGAGTTTGAGGCTGGTACAGAACCATACCTGGCATAATACTTTTTGTGTAGCAATAGAATCTGACTGTCATGTATAGAACACCATACTGAACAACAACAACAACAAAATACTTTTTCAAGCACCCATGGACATTCACCAAGATAGACCATATCTAGGTCCATTAAAGAATCCTACACACATTTTTAAAAATTGAAATCATACATAGTATGCTCTCTGATCATAATGGAGTCAAACTACAAACTAGTAACAGAAATCCAGCAGGGAAATCTACAAATGCTTAGAAATTAAACAACTCCCTTGTAAATAATCCATCGGTCAAAGAGGAAGTCTTGAAGAAAATTTTAGGTATACACAGAATTGAATGGAAATGAAAAACAAAATATCAGTACATGCAGGATGCAGCTAAAATAGTGCAGAGAAGGACATTTACAGCAAATGTGCAAATTAGAAAACCAGAAAGGTCTCAAATCAATAATCTAAGTTCCCACTTCAGATAACTAGAAAGGAGCAGCAAAATAAACCTACAATAAGCAGAAGGAAGGAAATAATAAAGATTAGAAAATGAATAAAAACAATAGAGAAAATTAATGGGGGGAAATGCAAATTCTTTGAAAAAAAATCAATATTTGTGAGAAATGTCATTCAGCATTCTCACAAGAGTTGAGAAACAGTTCAGGGAGTTCCAGGATTTATTTAAAACAGCAAGCAAAGTCTTGATTGGGATTGTGGTCTCATTTGAAGCTCTGGGTTCTCTTCCAAGATCATTGGTTGGTGGTGGAATTCAATTTCTTGCAGCTATGGAACTTCTGACAACTGCTTGTTCAATGCCATTTAGAAAGTCTTCAAAACAGGAAGACCTCCACCCTTTTTAAAAGGGCTCATCTGAATAGGTCAGACCCACCTTGGAAAGTCTCCCTTTTGATGAACTCAATGTCAAATGGAATTCTTCTTAGTTTACACCTAAAAAATTTCCTCACCTGTGCCTCATATCATAACCTAATCATATGCATGATACACATTATATTCAGAGATTCCACCCATACTTGGGGGTAAGGACATCACAAAGGAATCGTGGGGATCATCACTGAATTCTGTCTATTACATTGTCAGTTTCCCAACGACCATACTGTTTGACGTAAAGCATCTGTGAATGCTTGTGATATTCTTTGTTTGTACCATAGTTATCTTCCTGCCATACTATTGGTTTCTATAATTCAGAATCTAGTTTAGAATCTGGAGCCCCAAACTTACAATACATAAGAAATGAAATGATTGCCTTTAAATGTCATTTTATGTGTGAAAGTTCTTCATAAAATGCAAAGGATAAAATAAATATACATAGTGTTACAGTTATTTTATCAAGCCAAGGGAGAAAACTTGACCTACAAAGTTCTGGAAATAAACTAGAGTTCACAAATATAAATATTATTTTTAAAAATTAATGTCTTCCTAAATATATAAACTGATCATTTTTAATGGAAAGATACAAAGATTTTCCAGGAAAAGAAATAAAATGGTATTTCTTGCTAGTATAGCTATTTATAAAAATATGATAAGGCCCCCACCTAGCCAGTTTGGCTCAGTGTATAGAGTGTTGGCCTGTGGACCAAAGGGTCCCAGGTTCAATTCTTGTCAAGGGCACATACTGGGTTGCAGGCTCCTTTCTGGCCCAGGTGGTCGGGGTGTATGCAGGAGGCAACCAATTGATGTGTTTCTCTCACATCAATGTTTCCCTCTGTCTTTCCCTCTCTCTTTCACTCTCCCTAAAAAATCAATGAAAAAATATCCTCGGGTGAAGATTAACAAAATGTGATAAGGCCCTAGCTGATGTGGTTTAGTTGGTTGGAGCATCACACCATGCACCGAAAGGTCTCCGGTTTGATTTCTGGTCAAGGCACATGTCCAGGTTGTGAGTTCAATCCCTGGTCAGGGCATTTGTAGAAGGCAACCAACTGAAGTTTCACTCTCACATTGATGTTTCTCTCTCTCTCTCTCTCTCTCTCTCTCTCTCTCTCTCTCTCTCCCTTTTTCTCTAAAAATCAATAAAAGCATGTCCTCAGATCTGGCCAGCATGGATCAGTGGTTGAGCATCAACCTATGAACTAGGACGGTTCAATTCCCAATCAGGGCGCATGCCAGCGTTGCTCAGTCCCCAGTGTGGGGTGTGCAGGAGGCAGCCTATCAATGATTCTCTCTCCCTTCCTCTCTGAAATCGATAAAAAGATATTTATTTATTTATTTGTTTGTTTATTTATTTAAAAAGCATGTTCTCAGGTGAGGAATAAAGAAATGTGATATGATAAAAATCATTTAAATGTGCCAGGTTTTAAACAGAATTTTATTTTCCTCTGGAAACTGCTTACATTAAACTCATGCTGTGTTGACAATTTCAGTATGAAAAAGATTAGAATAAAGTCTGCTCACTTCATTCTAGCTAAGAATGCTGACTGTAAACACTAAAATTATTTTGTTTTTCCTTAAGGGGAATCTCAAAATGACCTTCGAGAAGCCAGACTCAAGATGATAAGTGATGATGTGTGCAAGCAACCAGAAGTATATGGCAGTGATATAAAGTTTGGGATGTTTTGTGCTGGATATCTGGAAGGCATGTACGATGCCTGCAGGGTAGGAGGAGAGACATTATTTTTATATCATTAACTCAAAATTTTTTTATCTGAATTAAGAAATATTCTATATTCTTTATACTAGTACAAAATACAGATATCTTATCAGTTCAAAAATTTCTAAATACAAATTACACAGGCCCAGGGCTGGTGTAGGAGGCAACCAATCTATGTGTTTCTCTCACATCGATGTTCCTGTCTTTCCCTTTCTCTTCTACTCTCCCTAAAAATCAATGGAAAAATATACTTGGGTGAGGATTAAAAAGAAAAATGAATAATAAAATTAAATGTCCTTAATACTGGAAATCCAAAGATTCATAAAAGTCTCTTTTATTAAAGAGCTCACATATAGGAAGGAAACATTCAGGAACAATGAACGATGATGTGATGTTATAAATGATATAATAAAGAGCAAATATTTTTACAGCAAGTATCAGAAAAATCACATTTAAGTGAGGCCTGAAGGATAAATAGCACTTGCCCAATTATAGAATAAGAAAATAATATTATAGAAAAGAGGAAGAGCATCGCCACAATTATAAAGCTGTGAAACTACAATTCATATTAGAGGGGACCCCAGGCAACCTGTTGAGTCTCGCATAGGAGGATGAGAGGTGAGAAGTAGCAAATGCTTCGAAGGTGGATTAGACCATGTCGTGACTATCCAGTGCCCTTACCATGTCCCCCTCTGTCATCCAATATCTATCTTGCATATATGTGTTCTGACAAGGTACAAAAGTGCCTGGAGGCACTTGCTCTATAACGTGAGATCCTTTAAAATTCCAAGGAGGTGATTCTACCTGATGAAATGATGGGGTTATTAATATCAGGTGGCAGCAAGCCCTTCCCAGAGTCCCACAGATTACAAAACATGGGCAACCTCTGTCAGAAAAAGGTATGCTACATATATGTACAAGTAGAATATAGGCTGGGAAAGAACAGAATCTGACACACACCTAGCCTCAGTTGTTAAGAATGTGGAGGAAGGTAGCTAGAATTCAGGAAATCCAAAGAGAGGCCCATGCCATGATGGATAAGTGGAAGGTGGCGACAGGAGTCTAGGAGCAGACAGGATATGGGAATCTAGACAAACGTTGAGATTAATGATAAGCCTCAGGAAGGATTGGTGCTCATGAAGAGACTTCCCTGGATTGGGAGCAGACATAAGATTCCTAACCCATTACTGTGCAAGTGAGTAATAAGCCAGAGTCATACAAAAAGTGAGAAAGTTATCAAGGAAGAGACTCAGGCACAGGGTCCTAGACAAAAATAAAGCAATTGTACTGGGGTCTATGGTGTAGGGCTTAGTCTGTCTGAGAAAACAGAACTCTAAGCACCCTACTTAGAGTCAAAAGAAAACCAACATCAGCTTGACTTTCTGTGTTATGTATTTGAAATTTGTTAAGAGTAGACCTTATGCATCCTTACCTGCCCCCTACACACACACACACACACACACACACACACACACACACAGTAACTATGTGAGGGATGGATGTATTAATTAGCCTGATGGATATGTTAGTTAACTTGATGGTCATTTCACAAAGTATAGTATTTCTAATCATCATGTCATTTGCTTTAAATATATACAATTTTATCTGTCAATTATCTTATATAATAAAAACTTAATATGCTAAGTGTCTGGTCTTCCAGTCGTCCAATCAAAGCATAATATGCTAATGATATGCTAAGGCCACTCAACCACTCACTATGACGTGCACTAACCACCAGGCGGCAGACACTTTGACTGGTAGGTTAGCTTGCTGCTGTGGTCCAGCTGATCAGGACTGAGCGAGATGGGCTGGACATGCACTGGAGCCCTCCTATGGTTCCTCCCTGGCTGGCCAACCTCCCGCATCCCTCCCTGGCCCTGATCGTGCACCAGTGGGGTCCCTCAGCCTGGCCTGTGCCCTCTCACCATCTGGGACCCCTCAGGGGATGTCAGATAGCCAGTTTCAGCCCAATCCCTCAGGCTAAGGAACCCCCACTGGTGCATGAATTTGTGCCCCGGGCCTCTAGTATATCTATAAAAACTGAAAAAATTAAAATGTCAACATTGAAATTTTATAGACTTTTTAAAGGGTTTTATAACTTTTAAAATACATGTTTAAATTAATTATCCTATAATTGGTAATCTATATATATGCCTAATAATAAAATATGTGCTTCATCAGAGTATTTTAAGTAATAAGCTTTATATTTAACTAATATTTTCTTTCTCTCTCTTTTTTACCTTCAGGGTGATTCTGGGGGACCATTAGTCATAAAGGATCTTAAAGATACCTGGTATCTCATTGGAATTGTGAGCTGGGGAGATAACTGTGGTCAAAAGAACAAACCTGGAGTCTACACAATGGTGACTTATTACCGAAACTGGATTGCTTCAAAAACAGGGCTCTAAATCACTGTAAAAGTTCAACATCGAGAGCTGTATGCAGGCCACACATGTATGAGAACCCAAATATTCAGTGAGGTTCAATGACTGGACCGAGCAACACAAAACATATGTCACTATTTATTTTAGAATCACTCTAATTAACCAATAACCCATAGCCAACTCATAAAGAATTTAAATTTGTAAAGTCGTGGGTCAATTTAGCCTGGCTTGAAAAATACATCAGAGCTACTCAGCTCTTAAAATCACACAAGGTGGAGCATAAAAGAGGAGCAATGCAATCTATTGAGGATAATCCATGAGCTTTGTCAGGGGTGTCGCCTTAAATGAGTAAATTTTTAAACACTCAGAGAGTTCAGGAAACTTTTATATAATCTCCAGAACTCACAAATACTTTTTTTTTCTTTTTTCTCATTCTTCCAGGTTTTCCAAAGAGATTTTCCACCATAAGAAACTAATTTTTTACTTATAAACTCATTGGAGGGGTCTTCATAAAAGAAAGTTATATCTGGGAAACAAAGTTCTGTGACAAATCAAGCCAGAGATATAACCTTTTTATGTTGGTTCTAATCTCCTTATTTTGTGGTGATTTTTCACACACACACACACACACACACACACACACACACACACACCTATCCCTACCCTACAGATAAACTCAGAGAAAGCCTGATTAATGAATAAGTATATATATATTAATTAACTAATCAAAAATATATTTTTGTTATAAGAAATTTGGGGGAATGTGATAACTTTATGAACAGTCCCAAAACAGTGGCACAACATTTTGACATTTCATAGATGCATTTACATGTTTGGACCAACAAGAGGTGACTGTAGATTATTATTGTAAGGTTAAATGCCTAGAAAAACAATTAAAAATTTGCTGATACATTAAAGAATCAAAGAGCATCGCTTTTCTAGATAGAAATCAAGTGTCTTTGTATTGCTGCAGCCTATTTTCCCCTAAAGCTTGTGGCAGTAGCCTGACCACTGCAACCATGAAACCCTAGTTTTAAAAATATGTTTTAAAATGAATATAAATTTTGAAGACCTACCACACAGAACACGTGAACAATGTCATCTGAAAGAACAAACATGCCCCCTAAATAAAGTGCCTTGTGAAGACATTGGGAAAGTCAGGCTCATGTATTCGATGATACAATTGAATGAAGGCTTTGTGGTAACTTACTCTGTGTGACAACACCAGCTAAACTTCAGCTGTGCAGTGTGGTGTCATTTGTTCATGTAGTGCAAATAGAAGCCAAAGCATTGGGAAATTGAATGACCTTACAATAATTTCCCCTCATGTGCTATTGAGAAGACATGAAAATAACCCTGAAATAATGGAAAGGAAATTTACAGTTTACTCACCCCCCAAAAAAAAATGATCCACAACTTAGACTCACAAAATTTTAAAAATTAGAAAAGACTGTACAAGTCATGCAGGCCAGCACACATGTTTCAGAGAACGGAAGCCAGGAAGCGTAAATGACTTGGTGAGGCCCAGATAGCCTGTATCCAGCGAGGGCCGCGAACCCAGGTACCAATTTCACATGCTCTTTACCTTGCAGAGCATCTTTTTTAACATCAGATCTATAAAAGTTTCAACAAGTGCTATTATTGAATCTGTCTTAAATTAGGAAACTCTTAAGAAAATAATCTTAAATGATGGAATTCACTTAGGCAGCTGGCTGCCAATTCTCTGAACTCACTTCAAGATAAAGTTGCTTGTTCATAGGCAAAAATATATACAGATATATAAATTAGTCTCTATTTTGGTGGTATATGATTCTGACTTTTGATGTTAAGATTCAAAATAATCTTAGAGTTATAAACTTTGTATTTCTAAACTGTTTGGTGCAGCATTTCATTCTGGGACATGTGCAAGCAAATATTGATATGTCATTTTAAATCAATAATAAAGTTGGTGGTCAGAGCATTCTATAAATATCATTTAATCTGTGGTAGGCCAATAGTATGAATCTTTCTTTCAACTGCTCTTAAGAATTGCCTTCCTTTCTTCCTTCCTTCCTTCCTTCCTTCCTTCCTTCCTTCCTTCCTTCCTTCCTCCCTCCCTCTTTCTTCCTTTCTTTCTTTCTTTCTTTCTTTCTTTCTTTCTTTCTTTCTTCCTCCTCACCAGAGGATATTTTTCCCATTGCTTTTTCAGAGAGAGTAAGGGAGGGAGGTAGAAAGAAAGAGAGGAAAGGAAAAGAGAGAGAAACATCGATGAGAAAGATACATTGATTGGTTGCCTCCCTCAGGCACCTGGCAGAGGCCAGGGATGGAACCTGCAACCCATGTACCTGCCCTTGACCAGAAATCAAACCTGAGACCCTTCACTGTGGGCCGATGCTCTAACCACTTACAAACACTGACCAGGGCTGCATTTCTTTTAAATAACTAGTTTGGGTCACACTGAAGCAGGGTTTCTCAACCTTGGCAGTTTTGACATTTTGGCCTAGATAACTTGTGAGGGGCTATGCAGTGTCGAATATTTAGCAGCACCCTGAACTATGCTGCTCGCAGAAAATATGATATTTCCTCATTACCAAGTTGAATCTTTTTTATCAATATGTTTAGGCCGAGAACAGGAACTAAAAGTATTTTTCCTATGTAAATAGCTGAATATCATGCAGCCTAAAATTCCGTGGAAACTGATGGTGATAAAGGGCCAGTACAGGCAAAGACTAATAACTTCAGGAGGGTATTGGAGACCTCCTGGATAGTATTATGCTAATGTTAGTAGCCTTGAAATAAGGTTCTGGGTTTGGGCATGCTAGATGTTATGCAGTATGCAGGGTCACTGAGGATCCCTGTAAAATCTGCTGAATATTTTGCATGGTCTGTAGTGATCAACTAGAGTAGCTTCATAGTACAGAGAAAGCACTAGGATGAGTACCTCCCTGACTCGAGTGATGTGGTCACTGCCCTCATAGAACAGACTGCTCTCTGGGCCTCCCAGAGCCATCTCAGGAGACTCTGGCATTCAGCTGGGCACGACTATGCACAGGAGTTCTCCTGTTACCCTTTACGGGACCGTCAGCCTTAGGAGGAACCTGGAGGCTAGATGACATCCACATTCTCCAGTTCGTTAGATTTTCCTAGGAAACGTTTCTTTTACCTTTCCCTGGTAACCTGGCTTCCGGGATTGGAGGAGCTGTCCGGCAGTTTTGACACTCTACTCCAGTGAACACAACACAGCGGAAGTAGCAGTGGCTATTACCATGGTAGTACAGGCCACAGATATCTGGTCATATCATTCCATGATGCTGGCTCCCCGCAAAGGAGAATTTCTAAATCTTAAAAACATGCTTGGTCTTGAAGAAAGAAGGCATTTTATCTTTGTGAGACTGCTTTCCTGGAGAATTTGATATGAGTGGAGAAGAGATATAGTTTCAATGATGGAAAGTAGGGTTAATTTAAGGAAGGAGATTGGGTTAATCCTGTCACTATGTACAGGAACTACAGTTATCTCTAGGGTTCCAGACAAACCTCCTTCCCACATAAAGGTTTATCTTCTGGGGTATGTGTGTGTTTAGAAAAGTATGAAATGAATCAATGAGAACCTTAACATTTTTTTTATCAACCTTGAAGATTCCCAATGATAAAACTGTTATCAATTATCTTGCTGGAATCGTGTTGTAGATGGAGAGAGCACTCAGTGTTCCTATCAGTTGCTCTTCCTGAAACTGTCCTAAAAGGGGTAATGTAATCTGGCTCCATCATACACAACACCATGGTGGTCCCACACAAACAAGGCTTTACCTGTGCCTCCAACAACCAGAGCTCCTCAGCTTTCCCGGATTCTGTTGGACAACTAGGGAATAGGACGGAGCATGGAGAAGCCCCTTCTAGGCCAGAAGTCTTGCTCACAGCCAACTACAGCTCTGTTTCACAAAGCACAAACATTACCCCTGGCTTTTCATGACAAACACTCTGAAAAACAGCCAAGCCCTCACATGCCTTTCATTGGGTCATTTAAGGACCTAACAACATACTCTGATTACATGATCTACTATTTTACCCATAGTCCTTATATCCTTCTCAGGGTCATTTAAGGACCTAACAACATACTCTGATTACATTACATTACATGATCTACTATTTTATCCATAGTCCTTATATCCTTCTCGTTTAGATGCCTCTGAGAAATGAGATCAACAGATTATAGCACAGGACAAATAATAAAAACAAAAGAAAACCACAGACTGGATTTCAAGGTGAGCTTGATAGTTTCTCCCTGATCCATGACTACAGACTACCCCTAATCCCAGAAAACCATCACAGAATTAAGTGTTCCTGTCCAAAAGCCTTGAAAACAAATAAGGATGAATCAGTGGACATGTCCCTGTGTTACTAAGAAAGAGACAATGCAAGTACATGCTCTTCTAACTGTGAGAACTATTACCTTGAATCAGAAAGGTGTAATGATGCATCTTCATGGTTCCAAATGACCTCAAACCCAGTTCAAGTACCCGGCCACAGTCACATATTTCAGAGTTTGGTAAAAGAGTAAAACACTAATACAAAACCTGTCCATTGATGACTATTTGAACCAATTGGATTATTGAATATAGGTTCAAATAATCTTTTAAAATATTTGTAAAAGATTACACTACCAAATCACACATTTGCTAGATGATGGATACTATGACATAGGGGTAAACAATATGAAGTTAAACACAATTTATTTGAATCCTGGCTCCACAACCTACCACTGAACAACAATGGGTTATTTGAACTTCATGATGGTTAGTTTCATGTGTCATCTTGACTGGGCCACTGGGCCCAGATAAGTGATTAAATATTATTTCTAGATGTTTCTGTGAAAGTGTTTTAGATGTTATTAACATTTTCCAGCTTTATTGTGATATAATTGACAAAGAAAATTATATATGAAGTGGACAGCATGATGATATGATAATACATACATTGTGAAATGATTGCCAAATTAGCTAATTAACATACCCACCACCTCACATAGTTGCCTTAACAATACAGCATTATCTATAGTTACAATGCTGTCCATTAGGTTGCCAGGGGCTGGGAGGTCGGGGAAATGAGAAGATGTTGGCTAAAGGGTACAAACTTTTAGTTATAAGTACCAGGATCTAATGTACAGCATGCTGACTATAGTTAATGACACCATACTTTATACTTGAAAATTGATAGAGAGTAAAGCTTTAATGATCTCATAACAATAACCACAATAAAATTGTAATTATGTGAGGTGAAAGATGTCTTAACTAATTTTATTGTGGTAAACATTTTACAATATATATGTGTAGCAAATCATCACATTATATACATTAAACTTACACAATGTTACATGTCAAGTATATGTCATTAAAGCTGGGGGAAAATAAGTAGATTTTTTTTAATTTAGCAGTAAACACCCAGAAAAATAAATGGGGAAAGTAACCTGTTCAAAATAATAACAACAACAAATCCAACAAAACAAAATCAAGAAATTTACTTTGACAATTCTCATCACCAAAGTGGGAAAAACCCAAGTTCAATGAAAGGTCTCTATAACTAAAGAGCTAGTAGGACATGTTATGTATACTACAAGTAAAGCAAAACCAAAAACAGCATTTTCACATGCAAACTCCAAATTGAAGATCATGAGGGCAAACACTCTATCACAGTGGGAGAGATGGACCCAACAGCATTTAATTTGTAGTCTACGTAAGCAACCCTACGTAGCTTATTCTATAAAAGATAGATCCAGGGCTTTACTTATTCAAATATAGTTAATAATTTCTCATAGCTAGATTGGTAAATTTCTTAGTGTTTTACCAAAATTTTTATTAACCAAGATCACATTAGCATTATAAAATTCACGGAAAAGATTTCAGCATGTTCTATACTTGGAAACAGTTAAGATAGCATAGGAAACAACTGTTTTGGAAATGCTATGAGGCAAGATGTTTTTATAAAAAATTTTAATACATTTTTCATTTCTCCTGTGGTTATTTTTTGTTGTTGAAGTTTCCTAGCTCTTAAATCGATTTCAATGATTTGTTTTTTATCCCAGAAATTTATTTTCTTGAGACTAAATATTTTAGTATAGTTTCACATATAATTACTTATTTTTTCTACATTTGTTGTTACATTATTGTTCTCATTTTCAAAATTGTATATTTGTATACTTTTGACCAATACAAATTTCACTCTTTATCCTGGTTAATGTTGTTGCTTTGGATCTCTGTATATTTGCCTGCTGTCTTTGTTCTCTTTCTCTTTAACATTCTTTCTGTTTTCGTTGTGTATCTGAAAATGTACGGGTTTCTTATAACTGGATTTTCTTTTTAGAAGAGACTCAAAAGAGTCTTTGCCTTCTATTATATCTGTTGAAACCATTTACCTATATTGGCACAATTTTTATGTTTGCTATAACTTGTGTCAACTTTCTTTGTACCATTTGTTTCTTCTGTTTTCTTGCTAATTTCTTTATACGGAGGTGGCAAAAGTAGATTTACAATTCTGAGTATTGCTCAATGGATAGAGTGTTGGCCTGTGGACTGAAGATCCCAGGTTTGATTCCAGTCAAAGGCACATGCCTGGGTTGTGGACATGATCCGTAGTAGGGGGCATGCAGGAGGCAGCCAATCAATGATTATCTCTCATCTCTTTGATGTTTCTATCTCCCTTCCTTTCTGAAATCAATAAAAATATATTTAAAAAATTTTTATTTGTATACAAGTTTTACATTTATTATAAATGTACATTTTAAAAAACTTTATTGTTGGATTATTACA